TATTCTATTCTATTCTATTCTATTCTATTCTATTCTATTCTATTCTATTCTATTCTAATTCTAATTCTAATTCTAATTCTAATTCTAATTCTATTCTCCATTCAATTCCTTTCCATTATTCTATTCTATTCCGTTCTGTTCTGCTCTGCTCTGCTCTGCTCTGCTCTACTCTATTCTATAAAATTTATACGCTGCCCAATTCCTAGCAATTCTGGGCAGTCAGTATAACTATTCAGCAATCCAATTTCCTTCCGCTAAAATTCATCGCTTCCTTTTTAGACTTTACTGTCCCAGCTCTCTGAGGAAATTAAGACGGGGCCCACTTGGCCCAACTCTTATTTTTATTCTGATCCATTTTTGTTTCTCACACAGGCAGTAGCTATTCCCAACAGTCCTATTAAAATGACTTGCAGTGGGGCCACAAAGCTGCCTAACCTTTGGACATCCTGATGTCTTGATTGCAAAACCATCTGTAAATGGGTGTCGTTCGTTAAAAGAACTTGACCTAACGAGCATCCCATTTCCTCTCCCAAGAAAATGACCTCATTCGTCTGGACGTTTTTAGATCAAAACCTTCTGCAGTCCAGATCCCTGTTTTTACAGCCATAGTTTCTGGTGAGGCAACCATATTGTCTGAAGGGATGAATGTCCTCAGCAAAAAATTCCTTCCCAGATAAACCGTAGGGCCATCCCACAGCATCTTGAGCACACAGCTGCACCAAAAATCTAAGTTGTGGTTAGGAAGGAAGAAAAACAACCAGGGAACCATAACCAAAGATGGAGTTGTGGTGCCAAGTAAAGGAAGCATCTGAAGCTTGACAAAATCTATCTGGGGTTGCAATAATTCCACCAGATAGGAGAGTGTTTCTCCCTGCTTCTGTGTGTGTGTGTGTGTGTGTGTGTGTGTGTGTGTGTGTGTGTGTGTGTATGTACAGTATGTATGTATATATGTATGGTGTTCAACTTTGTTCGGGTATTTTCCCACATCATTATAGTTGTGCTTTTAAAGTTGTAGTGATGTTTTGGCAGAATCTCATCTGCCATCATCAGGCTTCTGTATTGGGTTCGTCTCTGTGTCAGACTTTCACAGCTGTTTCTGTTTAAAATTTGGGGCTAGCCTCCTGCTTTGTTAGAATGGATTTTTCTTCATCCTGATTGGTTGGGAGTCTTGAATTGTGTTTATTGGTCTTGGAGTTTGCTGTGTTCTGTTTGATTGGTGTTTCTAATATCTTATGTCTGTTTTGTAGAATTTTTTTGTCTTGGTTGGCTGGCAACATTGTGTTTCATGTATTGGGGGCTTTTAGCATGGCTTGGCTTTGGGTGAATGGCCGGCTATTGTTTATTAGAAAGCTAGGTTTCATCTGGGTGGCTGGCTGGGCTGTGTTTGGGCTGGAGGTATCGGTGGAGGGGGGTCTGTTTGTGCCCAGGTGTTTGCTTGGCTTGTGGTGTGGAGATTTTTTTGTTTGTGAGTGCAGGCTTAATAATAATAATAATTATTATTATTATTCCAGAGTTTTGAATTGGATGGTTTGCACATCACTTACTTGATCCGAACCTAAGCATTTGTGTTGGGGTGTCTGTCTATGAAGCAATAACCAAATCCACAATTCATGATGGTTGTGTGGCGATGTTGATTGACAGATCAGTGAAACGTGTTCTAAATTTTCCTTTAATCATGCAGAAATATCTATGTTTGAGTTATAGATAATTGTGGTTGTCTACTCTTAGACATCTTGATTTTTTTTTTTATAGACAATGAAAAGAGGCGTATAAGATGTTTGATAGAAACTCATTTTGGTTGATAGATCAGTGAAACTTGTTGCAAACTTTTCTTTAATTATGCAGAAATATCTCTGAGTTATAGATGCTTGTAGTTGTCTACTCTTAGGTATCTTGAATTTCCTTCCTTCCTTCTTTTCCTTCCTTCCTTCCTTCCTTCTTTTCTTTCTTTCTCGTATACAATGGAAAGAGGCCTATAAAATGTCCTGAAGATTTTGGTTGATTGATAATCAGTGAAACTTCTTGTAAACTTTTTTTTAATTATACAGAAATATCAATGATTGGGTTAAAGGTATTTATGGTGGTCTACTCTTAGACATCTTGATTTTATCTATTATCTATTATCTATCTTTCTATCTCTATCTCTCTATCTATCTCTCTATCTATCCTCATTATCTATCTATCTGTCATCATTATCTATCATCTACCTACCTATCTATCTCTCTATCTCTATCTATCATCACCATCATTATCTATCTGTCATCATTATCTATCATCTATCTATCTATCTATCTATCTATCTATCTATCTATCTATCTAACTATCTATCTATCTATCTATCTATCCATTCATCCATCCATCCATCCATCCATCCATCCATCCATCCACCCACCCATCTATCAATCTATCGGTATACAATGGAAAGAAGCATATAAAATGTCCCTAAGACGTCCAATAGAAACTCATTTTATTTTTCAGCTGCTCAAGTGAATCTGGCCAATGCCAGTGCAGGCCACATCTGATTGGACGCCAGTGCCAGGAAGTGGAACCTGGATATTATTTCATATCTTTGGATCATTATGTCTATGAAGCAGAGGACGCCAAATTTGGCCCAGTGAGTACCAACTTTAGCTAGCAATCAAAACACATCAGAATCCTTGCTCTGAATCCTTTTAATCTGCTCCTCAAATCTCATACACACACATTTATGGGTACATTTATATGTGGTCTTCATCATTCGGGGACTATTTGATTTCACTTATTTCTTTATTTCTGATTAGAATGTGGGTTTACAATTTGATATTTTGATCCATTTTATAGCAGTTGGAGGTACAATACTTAATTTCAAATCTGATCGGAAATAGTTTGTCATTTTCTTTCCCCCATTTGTATGACCCATAGTCCCTAATTTGGGGTAGAGTTGGGGTGATTTGGTAGAGCTGAGAATTAACTGGCCGGATGCCCTCCCTGACACCTACACGGAGTTCACAGCAGGCACTTTATTTTCTCTGTTCAGCCTGGGAGAGAAACATCTGCTGCTACCTGGGATTGAACTCTCAACTCTCAATACATAGTTTGTCTAGAGTGTAGGAAAACATACCAAGACCGTTTATCAACTAAGAGAAACAATCAATACATGTATGTGAATGGAATCTATTTCCTAATCATCTTTTGCAAGCATCTATCAGTAAGAAATTGAATGTGACATGTGGAATTAAAAGTACCAACACACTGCTGGAGAAAACTGCTGGAATATTCTCCTTGTAGTATTTTTTTTTTAATCTACATTTTCCGCATAACATATGTGCATTATCTTAAAATAGAAGACTATAATTTGCTTCCATTCTTTTTAACAAAAAATATTAAGTCTCAGCAAAGGATAAAATATAAAAAAAGCAAAAGAAAGGTTAAAGAAAAAGCAAAGTCAGGAATGTAGAAAGAATAAAAAAGAGGGGGGAAAAGAATAAGTTCCAACTTTCTTTGGTATAGATGCTGATATAAAATACATGAACCTCTTATTCTAAAATGAACAATAATACACAATATTTATTTTATATTATATTTTAGTTTATACTTTATGTTATTATTTATTTGTTTGTTTTTATTATTTGTTTTGTTCCATTTTATTATTTTATTTTATTCTAACCTCACCTTTTCTATAACCACAATGGTCCTAACTGTCAAATCCCAAAATTAAATGCTCAATTCCTCCCCCACCACCCCAATTTCTAGCACAATGTCCAACAGTGGTTTCCAAGTAGACACGAATTTAGACAAAATCTCTTCTTTAATCAGAATATTCAGCTTCCCAACGTCAGCCCATTCCATTCGCTTCCCCGTCCATTCTTCCATTGAAGGTGGCATGCCCCTGGTGGAGACTGAGGGAGAGGAGGAACAGCCAACAGGGAGTGGAAGTGTGGCTCCGGAGGTTGTGGAGGAGGCTGGGGAAGGGCAGTGGCCAGCTGGGCAATCAGAGGAGGACCCAGGCCCATCCCCCCTCCATCCTAGGGCATGCAGGGAGGAGAGGATAAAGGAGAGATATGGTCTACTGGGGAGGAGAGGGCCTTGATCCTCTTCATGGGCTGCAGCTGTGACAACTGGATAAGAGGACGGACATGCATACAGGTGAGTGCTAGAAACAAAGCATGGAAATATCTCTAGTTTATGGTTCCTCTCTGAGTTTGGTGTCCTTCCCAGAGTGTGTTCTGATATCTGTGGACATTTTCAAGCCCTTATCTTGCCTTGTTTGTGTTGTTTTTTACTCTTTATAATTTAAACGGCATTTCCTCCTTCTTGTAACTGCTTGTGTGGGAGTTTTTTGTCTCCAGTCAAGGATATTTGGAGCTTGGAAGCAAAATGAAGGAATAAAAGGGGCTTCACCTGTTTTTTGTGACTGTGTTTATTTTGTATCCCACCCTGGGTCATCGCAGAAGGAATGTTCCATTCCCTCTCTTGGGAGTACCCAAGTCTCGCTACTAATCATTTGTTTCTCTTTTGTAGGGCGTGAGTTTAGTTGAACGGCTCTATTCTCAAGATCGCGTGCCTTCCTGGACAGGAATAGGATTTGTGAGAGTGCCTGAAGGAGCATATTTGGAATTCTACATTGACAATATTCCGTTTTCTATGGAATATGATGTCCTGATTCGATATGAGCCGCAGGTAAAATGGCTGCTTAGGGAATCACACTGTCTCCGAAGGAGGAATGCTGATGTTTTAGAAGATGTTTTAAACCTGCTGCGTTAAACATATATGCACTTGGTGGTCCGAATGTTTATTTATTAACTTGTTTACTTTTTGTTTGTTTGTTTATTATCGTACCTTTGTTATTTTCAAGGTGGGGAACATATCCAACACACCTTCCTCCTCCTATTTTCCCCGCAGTAACAACCCTGTGAGGTTTGTTGAACAGAGAGAGAGAGAGAGAGAGAGAGAGAGAGAGAGAGAGAGAGACTGGCCCAAGGTCACTCACTGGCTTTCATGGCTAAGGCGGGACTAGAACTCACCGTCTCTGGTGATTGGCTCAAGGTCACCCAGCTGGCTTTCATGGATAAGGCAGGACTAGAACTCACTATCTAGTGATTGGCTCAAGGTCACCCAGCTGGCTTTCATGGCTAAGTCGGGACTAGAACTCCCTGTCTCCTGGTGATTGGCTCAAAGTCACCCAACTGGCTTTCATGGCTAAGGCGGGACTAGAACTCCCTGTCTCCTGATGATTGGCTCAAGGTCACTCAGCTGGTTTTCATGACTAAGGCGGGACCTAGAACTCACCGTCTCCTGGTGATTGGCTCAAGGTCTCCCAACAGGCTTTCTTGCCTGGTGCTTTCACCACAAGACCAAACTGGGTATATGTGGCTTTTGTACCAATGGCAATTTGATGGTGTGTCTGACGATTCTCACAGTGTCCCCCTGCCTTCAATTGAATTCAACGGTTGCATAGAAATTATGTATTGCTCATCAAGTCCTAATTCCTCCATTAGACAACCCTGATGGATATCCACAGGGTGTATTTTGGAGTTTTAAAATTAACGTGGATCATTTTTCCTAGTTGCCAGATCACTGGGAGAAAGCTACCATCAGCGTAAATCGCCCGGGCCAAATTCCTTCTAGTAGTAGATGTGGCAATACTGTTCCTGACGATGACAATCAAGAGGTATCCTTATCTCCTGGTTCCAGGTGAGTCTCAAAAGAGAAACGCAGGTAGCCCTCAACTTAAAGCCACAACTGAGATCAGAATTTATGTTGCGAAGCAAGGCGGTTGTTTAGTGAGTCCAATTTTACCACCTTTTTTTTGGGCCTCGGTGGTTGAGTGAATCACAGCAGTTGTTAAATGAATCGAGAAGTTCTTTGGCGCATCCTGCTCCTCTCCGTTGACTTCGCTTGTTGGAAGACAGCTGGAAAGCTTGCAAAGGATGATTATATATGATTGCGCAATCTTTAGAAAAGCAAATTTTGGTGTTGTGATGGTTGTGTGAGGACCAGTTGTAAGTCTCTTTTTTTTCAATGCCGTTGTAAGTTAGCAATAGCAATAGCGCTTAGACCAGTGATGGCGAACCTTTTTGTTGTGGTGTGCCGAAAGCGCGCGCGTGCCAGTACCCACAATGCAATGCGCTCTGCCCCCCCTGCACATGCGTGTGCAAAACCCACCCTTACCTGCACTATGCATGCACATGCATCCCAGCTGATTTTCGGCCCATTTGAGGCCTTTTTCACCCTTCCGGAGGCTCTAAGGAAGCCTCGGGAGGCCGGAAAACGGGCCCGTTTAGGCACTTCTGGTATTTCCGGAAGGCCCATTTTTCAGCCTCCCGAGGGTGCAGAGGCTTCCCTTGAGCCTCTGGGAGGCCAAAAATGGCCTCAAGTGGGACGAAAATCAGCTGGGAGGTGCGCACATGCACACTGCAGATAAGTTTGGCTGGGGCTTGCATGCCCACACAAATGGCTTTGCGTGTCATCTGTGGCATGCGTGCCATAGGTTCGCCATCACGGACTTAGATTTATATACTGCCCCACAGCAGTTTTACAGCTCTCTCTAAGCCATTTACAGAGTCAGAATATTGCCCCCAACAATCTGTGTCCTCATTTTACTGACTTTGGAAATTTTGAAAGCTGAGTCAACCTTTTCTTTTTTCTTTTTTCGGTCGAGTTTTTTTTATTTTATGTTGCTTATACATATCACTGTGTGAACAGTGTGATACTTGGGTATCATACATTTTAGTACAAATAAACATAATATTATTACTCATAGTTATGCCATTTCTTTTTCATTGTTTCATATTGTTTAAACCTATCTAATACTACTGCCATTCAATTTCTAAACCTCCCTCTTATTATTACATATATCTTGTTATATTAAAATATGTATATTTTTGTTCCCCTCTTATTTCTATTTCTATTCTAACTTTTATTCATGTCACCGTAGTATTCAAAGACGTTTCTTTTCACCTCCAAGCCTTACTCCTGAGTCGTCCCTTTTGTCTTAGCTGCTCTTGCCTTCTGGCAGCTCTGCGCACACGCGCACTGGGAACAGGCTCCCCTTGTTCCTCTGCCTCACTGCTGTCAGACTCTGGAGGCTCCGGAGTCAGCACCCCACTCCCAGATGGTCCTGGCCCCATCTCTGCATTGGACACAGGACCCTCGTCTGAGTCCTCCCCAGACTCCTGGACTGGTCCCCGTTCTTCCCCACTGTCCGATTCTGCTGACGTCTGCACAGGCTGCCAGTGAACCAGAACACAGATAGCAATAGCAATAGCACTTAGACTTTTATACCACTTTACACTGCTTTACAGCCCTCTCTAAGCGATTTACAAAGTCAGCCTATGCCCCCCAACAATCCGGGTCCCCATTTTACCAGCCTTGGATGGCCGAGTCAACCTTGAGCCGGATCGAACTGCTGGCAATGAGCAGAGTCAGTCTGCTATAATGCATTCTAACCGCTGCACCACCACAAACTGTCCCTAAATAAATGATTGTAGGTTGAGAACTACCTGTAAAAAACAAAAGAACAATAAAACAGAAAAGGCTAACCAGCAGTCTCAAGAAAACCCAGTGCTTTTTAATGTATGACTTGGAATCTGCCACATTGGTTTTTCTTCATGGATGTCCTTTTGTTAACACAGGTATGCAGCCCTTCCACACCCCGTATGCTTTGAAAAGGGTCTGAATTACACAGTTCGGTTGGAGCTGCCGCACTACTCCTCCAACTCAGAGGTGGAAAATCCATACACCCTCATCGATTCAGTAAGTGGATGCTAATATCAGCCCTTTGGTTGTAACACAGCCACAGGAGAAGGAGGAGGAGGAGGAGGAGGAGGAGGAGGAGGAGGAGGAGGAGGAGGAGGAGGAGGAGGAGGAGGAGGAGGAGGAGGAGGACTGTAGGATCCTTGGTGCTCTTTGAGCTTAATGGTTTTCTTGGAGACATTTCATTATCCAACTAGGTAACATCATCACTGCTACAAAGAAGCGGGGTGCTCAAACGAGAGCAAATTTCACACCCTTCTAGCATCGATGGTGTTACCTAGTTGGATAATGAAACATCTGCAAGAAAACCATGAAGCTCAAAGAGCACTAAGGACCCCAGAGTCATCTTCCTCCTCCTCCTCTTCATTCTCCTCCTCCTCCTCCTCCTCCTCCTCCTCCTCCTCCTCCACACAAAAACTCAGAGAGCACCAAGGATTCCATAGAATAAGCTGTCTCACATTTTAATTTCAAAGCTGCTGACGGAACACAAGTTTCCCCCCTTTTTTATTATTATTTTTCTTCTGGAATCCCTGGTTGAAATTTCTCGGAAAGTTGCCCGTATCGGGGAGAACCTGGCAATGGCTTCTGGGCCACCTGAGACGAGGTGGAAGAAACAGGCATAGCCCAACCGCCTAGGGAGCATTTCTTGCGGCCCCTCTGGACTGTATCTTTGGAAGATAACAATATTTGGATTGTCTGTCGTAAAATATAGTCACTGTCAGCGTTCCAACTAACAAACTCCAAACCAATAAACTCCAAGAAAGGCATTTTCTCAAAGTTGCATTTTAATTAGAGTTGTCATATTGGCACATCTGGGAGAACCCTGAATCTGAGAGTCCCGGGTTTCCCCTTCCCAATAAAAATTCAAAGATCTATCTCCTGCACCCTTCATTCCATGACATGGCCCAATCAACCATCGTCCCAACTGTCCAGTGGTGCGTTTCGAATATTTTTAACCACCAGTTTGGTGGGCATGCTTTGTGCACAGGCGCACACTTTGCACACATGCATGCGCCAAACACACACTTTTCGCAGGCACGGAGGCTTTCTGCCTCACCTCTTGCAAGCCTGCACTCTCCCTGTCACTTCTGCAGCTGCCGTGCGGCAATCTGCTTGCCATGCAAAGCAGCTACACTTCACAAGCAAGACATAAAGGTTAGTATGGGAGCCCAGGCAGGCGGGCCCAACAGCAGAGCATTGGAGAGAACTGGTTCGGTCTCCGCTGCTCATCGGCACTACCGGCTCGGCAGAACCGGGCCAAACCGGTAGAATACCACCACTGCTCCAGGCACGCCTCTCCAGGTGCAGGGCAACTTGTCCTTGACTTTTAAGAAAAAATGTTGTTGAGTCTAATCTTCCACCTCACTATGAAATTCCCCCCTCCCAAATTCCCAGGCACTGAATGTGGCAGCTTCGAAGCTTCCAAGTAAAATATGGCTTCCAAGGCTGACAGTAACATGGCTTGGTTAATGTCATTTCGCAGCTGGTTCTCATGCCGTATTGCAAGTCCCTGGACCTCTTCACGGTCGGAGGGAGAGGTGATGATGTGACGACCAACAGTGCCTGGGAAACCTTTCAGAGATATCGCTGCCTGGAGAACAGCCGGAGCGTGGTCAAAACCCCCATGACGGATGTTTGCAGGAACATAATTTTTAGCATCTCAGCCCTGCTGCACGAAACCGCATTGGGTAAGTAATTGAGAACAGAGGTTTCTCAACTTTATGTTATTTATTTGTTTGTCAAACATGTACAAGATAACAACAATAAGTATGAACATAAACAAGAACAAAAAGAGTAAATACAGATAAATGGGGACAGTAAGACAGGTAGGCGGGTTAGTGCGCTTATCCGCGCCCCCTTTAAGGACCTCTTAGGAATGGGGTGATGTCCACGGTAGACAGTTTGGGGTTGAAGCTGTGAGGTTGATTGGTTGTTGAGGCTGTAACCACGGAGTCTGGTAGGGCGTTCCAGGCGTTGACCACTCTGTGGCTGAAGTCGTATTTTCTGCAATTGAGTTTGGAGCATTTACCTTGAGTTTGTATCGGGTGTTTGTCTCTGTGTTATTGTGGTTGAAGCTGAAGAAGTCATTGACAGACAAGATGTCACAGCAGACAATTTTGTGTACTATGCTTCGATCAGATCTCAGGTGGCACAGTTCCAGATTGTCCAGGCCCAAAATTTCGAGCCTGGAGGCCTAGGGAATTCTATTGTGAGTGGAGGAGTATATAACTTTTCTCGAGAAATACCTGTGAACCTGCTCAATTGTGTTAATGTCTGATATACAGTGCACATTCCAATTTTTGGCCATTTTAAAGCCTTGTGGACTTCAACTCTCAGAATTCCAGTGGTGGGATTCAGTCAATTCGCACCACTTTGGGAGAACCGGTTGTTAACTTTCTGAACAGTTTGGTGAATTGGTTGTTGGAAGAACTCATTAGGGCAGAGAACTGGTTGTTAAATTATTTGAACCCCACCACTGCAGAATTCCCCCATGCTGGCTGGGGAATTCTGGGAGATGAAACCCATAAGTCTTCAAGTTACCAAGTTTGATGATTAGAGGACTGTAGGCTAAAACACACGATGAACGGTTGCAGGAACTGAGCCTGGCTACTCTAGTGAAGAGAAAAACCAGGGGAGATAGGAAAGCAGTTTTCCAATATTTGAGGGGCTTCTACAGAGAGGAGGAAGGGGGGTCAAGCTATTTTCCAAAGGCCAGACAAGGAACAATGGATGGAAACTAATTGAGGAGAGATTCAACCTGGAAATAAGGCGACATTTTCTGACAGTGAGAACAATCAACCAATGGAACAGAAGTCGCCTTTGGAAGTTGTGGGAGCTTCATCCCTGGAAGCTTTTGAGAAGAGACTGGACTGCCATCTTTCAGAAATGGTGTAGGGTCTCCTGCTTGGGCAGGAGGGGGTTTGTGTTGTGGTTCGCCAACAGCCTGTGCAGATGGCAGTGGAATTGAACATTGGGGAAGAAAGGGGATCAGTCCAGGAGTCTGGAGAGGACTTGGACGAGGGTCCTGTGTCTGATGCAGAGATGGGGCCAGAACCATCTGGGAGTGGGGTGCTGTCTCTGGAGCTTTTGGAGTCTGGCACAGAGCTGCTAGAAGGCAAGAGCAGCTGAAACAAAAGGGGAGACTCGGGAGTAAGGCTGGGAGGTGATTGCCCCTCCCATAAGGTATAAAGGACAGGCAAAGATGATGAAACCTTTGCAGGAAGCAAAGTCATTCAATCGGTTCAGATTCATCCTTGAAGCTCTTTGTACTTCGGCTGTTGTTTTCTTCTAGTTCATTTGACACTTCTGTTATTGGCAGCACTTCATAGGAAAGAAAGGTGAGTGCTTATCTCCAGGGACTGTTTGAGATTCATTACCAGCTGGGAATGAAAATAATTCCCAGTGTTGCAATAAAACAAGACTTCTTTTTAAAATAAGCGTGTGCGTAATTACGGTCTCGGAAGCCTTGGTCAGAACAGGCTGGACTAGATGACCTACAAGGTACCTTTCAATTCTGTTAATCCGAGATCTGAAGTATGGAGCTAAAGCCACTTAATGAATCTCTTTGCATCCCTGATACATACATATATCAGTCATTTTAGCAAGCTATTTGCCATTTCCTTGGCTTTTCTGCCTTTTAACGTTTCTGTGTGTGATGTAATTGTTTTGGTTTTACTTGGAACTTAGAAGGCTTGTACAAACGGAATGTATGAGGGAAGGAAAGAATGAATGAATGACTTGTTCCAAATATCCGTCTTTCTCCTTTTTTTTTCTGTTTAGCTTGCCAGTGTGACCCACAAGGTTCACTGAGCTCGGTATGTGATCCCAACGGAGGCCATTGTCAATGTCGCCCAAATGTTGTTGGTCGAAGATGCGATAAATGTGCCCCTGGCACTTTTGGCTTTGGACCCACTGGATGCAAAGGTAGGTTCTGTCTTCCTTCCGAAGACCCTGTTACTGCTCTGAAATAATACTTGGTAAGAATTTTTTAAAATAATAAATATTCTTTTTGTTCCTCTCTTCTACCTCATCTGTAAAAATCCTCATGAACTGAGCTAAAAAAAAAAAAGACAATTTGTGGGGTCATTGGTGCTCTCTGAGCTTGGTGGTTTTCTTACAGAGGTTTCATTACCAAACTGGCACTGATGATGTTACTTAGTTGGGTCATGAAACGTCTGCAAGAACACCACCAAGCTCAGAGAGGATCAAGACCCCATATTATTCCTCCTTCCCCTCCTCCTCCTTCTCCCCCTCCTCCTCCTCCTCTTCCTATCTTCCTCCTCCTCTTCCTCTTCCTCTTTCTGTCCACAAACCTCCCTCCTTTGTAGCACTGATCATGTTACCTAGTTAGGTAATGAAATGTCTACGAGAAAACCACCAAGCTCAGAGAGCACCTCCTCCTCTTCCTTCTCCTCTTCTTCTTCCTCCTCCTCTCCACAAACCTAGCACTGATCATGTTACCTAGTTGGGCAATGAAATGTCTACAAGAAAACCAGCAAGCTCAGAGAGCACCAAGGACCCCACAGTCCTCTTCCTCCTCTCTTCTCTCCCTCCCACTTCCTCCTCCACTCCGCAACCCCCCCCCCTTGTAGCACTGCTGATGTTACCTAGTTGGATAACAAAACACCAACAAGAAAACCATGAAATTCAGAGCATCAGGGACCCCATAATTCAACCCCGAACCCTGAAATATTCTCTTCTATTGATGAGACTCATTTTTCTAACTCTGGTCATTAACTAGCTGGAGATTTAAAAATCCACAACTGCATTGATTTTGGGTGGTGTTCAGGGGTGGGATTCTACCGGTTTGGACCGGTTTGGGCAAACCGGATATTACATTTGCATCTGGTTCGCTGAATTGGTATTTGAACTGACCAGCTGGCTCCTCCCACCCCTTCCCGCCCCTCCTAAGATTCTCCACGCAGCCCATTTTTGATGCAAGTAAGTGCAGGGTCTCTGCGGAGGCTCTGGAAGGGGGAAAAATGGGCCTTCCAGAAGTACCGAAAGTTGCAAAACGGGCCTGTTTCCGGCTTCCGGAGGGCCTCCAGAGCCCAGGGGAGGCCATTTTCTCCTTCCCAGAGGCCTGAGGGAAGCCTCTGAACCCTGGGGAAGGCAAAAACATTCCCTTCTGGACGTTTCGGTAGGCCACGCCCACCATGGCCACGCCCACCCGGCAACTGGGCAGCAAACCGGTTGCTGGGATTTTTGAATCCCACCCCTGGTGGCGTTGACTTTCCATTTCATCCATATATCTGTATGTTGTTGTTTTTAAGCTTGCGAGTGTCACGCCCAAGCTTCTGTAAATGCCTTCTGCCATCCGGAGACCGGGCAGTGCCACTGTTTCCATGGAATTTATGGCCGTTCGTGTGACCGATGTTTACCTGGCTACTGGGGCTTCCCGAGTTGTCAGCCATGCCAATGCAACGGTCATGCAGATGAGTGCGATCCGTACAACGGACAGTGCTTGAATTGTCGTGATCACACCTCGGGCCCCAATTGTGAGAGGTATGGCTTCATTTGGGCACAAAGAGAACTTGGGTTTTTCGGAAGTGGTGTGCGTGGAGGTTGTTGTTTTTTTTTTAATTTGTTTTTAATTTTAATTATGAGAATACAATGCATCCAACTTATCCTTGTTATACATATATACATTTAACTTCATCATTTATAATCTCCTTATTTAATATATTAAATACTAATTAATCTAATCATAACTACTAATATTTTAACCTTGTTTTCTACTATGTAACCATTTATAAAATTTATTCCATGTTTTATAATATTTAGACTCTCCTTTGTCTTTTATTTCTAAAGTTGACCTGATTCTGCACAAGCCATAATTTTTCTTATGATTTCTGTTTCTAGAGGTATGATTTCATTTTTCCAATATTGTGCATGTAATATTCTAGCCGCCGTCAATATATGTAGTACTGTTAGATACATTATTTCCTTCTTAATTTTTTCTGATATCATACCAAAAAGAAGAAAATCCGGTTTTCTATAGTGTGTTTTTCTAAGCTCCGTTGGAGAATATGATTTATGACACACCCTGGGAGGAGGAGGGGGAAACAGGGTCATAGGTGAGCAGTAAATTATGTGAGGCAGAGCTGACTGCACTTGGGAACATGCTGACATGTTGCTCCTAATAAATAATTGGATTTCTTTTGAAACTTGGCTCGAGGCTCATGAATTAATTAGGGCGTCCCTCGGAACCCTGACAGGCAATCTTTTAAGACTTATGGACTTCGACTCCCAGAATTCCCCTGGTAGCTTATTTAGGAAGGGATTAAAAACAGAGCTTTTAAAAAAGCTTCCTTCGGGAACACCTCCAGCTCCTCCTTTTATTGGGACGCCCTAACCACCAAGATTTGGGAGATTGTACTGGGGTAAAATTTGAATAAACAAATAAACAACAATTTGTTAAAGGCCGAGTGTAAATAGCGTTAGGCTGTCTTCTTTATATCATACAGGTATAGTCCTCAATGTACGACCACAATTGACCCCCAAATTTCTGTTGTTAAGTGAGACATTTGTTAAGTGAATGGCTGCCGTTGATGTTAGTAATCTGGTTGTTAAGTGAATCTGGATTCCCGCTTGATTTTGCTCGTCGGAAGGTCGCAAAAGGGGATCATGTGACCTCGGGACCCAGCGACCGTTGTAAATATGAACCAGTGGTCAAGCAACCGAAGGTAAATCACGTGACCATGGGGATGCTGCAACCATCATAAGTGTGAAACATGGTCATGTCCCTTTTGTTCAGTGCCGTTGTAACTGTGAGTGGTTCCTAAATGAACCGTTGTAAATCGAGGACTACATAGAGAAAAATACTGAAGTGGTTAATAAGCATATTTTTGGTCGATCGATATACTGTGACGTATGCCTTGTGAAAAACCTTGTGCTATAACATTTAGGTGCCTTGCTGGTTTTTATGGAGATCCAGTCTTGGGATCAGGTGATCACTGCCGTCCTTGTCCCTGCCCAGATGGACCGGAAAGTGGGCGTCAGTTTGCCAATGGATGTTATCAAGACCGGATTACATTACAAGTGGTGTGCGTTTGTGAGAGAGGATACAAAGGTAATTTTTTTTCTTGTTGGTTAATGTGTGCTCACCGAACCGGTTGTTACACTGGTTGAAACCCACCACTGCACCTTAGCCATAAAGGCCAGTTTTGTGACTTTGGTCCAATCACTAGGAGACTGGGATTTCTAGTCCCACCTTAACCATAAAAGCTGGTTTTGGTGACTTTGGTCCAATCACCAGGAGACTGGGAGTTCTAGTTCCACCTTAGCCATAAAAGCCAGTTTGGTGACTTTGGTCCATTCACCAGAAGACTGGGAGTTCTAGTCCCACCTTAGCAATAAAAGCCAGCTGGGCATCATTGGGCCAGTCACTCTCTCTCAACCCAACCCACTTCACAGGGTGGTTGTTGTGGTGTGGAAAATAGGAGAAGGTATATCGTATACGTCTGTCACCTTTTGTAGAAATAAATGAAGGCGGAATATAAATAAAAACTTGCTGAAGATTTTCCTTTTTCTTTGATTGCTGGTTGAACAGGAAGCAGATGCGATGAATGTGCCTCTGGCTTTTTTGGAAACCCTGAAGAGATTGGTGGGAGTTGCCATCCCTGCCAGTGTAACAACAACATTGATTCCTCTGATCCCGAGGCTTGTGACAAAAGGACAGGCTTGTGCCTCAAGTGTTTGTTTCACACCCGAGGCGAACACTGCCAAGAGTGTAAACCCGGCTACTACGGATGGGCCCTTCAACAGGATTGTAGAAGTGAGTAGTCTGCCTTTGATTTTTTTTTCCAATACGTTTTTTATTTTTATTATAAACACACATATTTTATGAACTTTGCATTAACTGGGTCAATTCTTTTTTAGGCAACAATAACAATAATAATAGAAGTAGGTCTATGTAGTTCTAATCTTCCAACTTCCACAGCCTTTGCCTCTGCCTTTGATTTTTGTGGGCACCTTTTGGCCTTAGTTATTTGCAAAAGATACCAGTTTTTGAATGGCATGATCTACCCATTATTGTCTACAATCTCCAGACACCCCATTTATTTTTATTTTTTGCACAAAGGCATATCTTACAAATCAAGAAATTCAGAGCAAAAAAAAAAGTTTTGTTTTTCAGCTTCATTCCCTTTAAAAATCCAAATTCCACCAAATGTTGGAAATGTAATCAAACACAGGGTACATATTATCACATGTGGTGGATGTGTGTGAAAGCAAAGAAATATGGGATAAAAATACATACCTGGTTAGAAAAAATGTTAAAGCTGCATATACATACCAGCTCGATACCCATGCTTCACTATGAAACTATGTGGTTGGGCTTAGGTTTTGGGGAGGAAAATAAGGGGGGGGGAGTCTGCCTCTGCCTACCAGCATCCATTAGTATTCATCTGGTCATCATCCTGTCAGTGTGTGAGAGAGTTGAGGGCTGTTTGGAAACTGAAACATGGAAACTGAAGCAGTATTTGCTGTGTGAGCAAGGAGGAGACAGCAGGGAGCCCTGGCGTGGCTTAGCTCAACTGTTTTGTATTAAAGCTGCTTGGTGCTGTGAAACTGAAACTGAAACTCCTCTCCTCTGCTTGTGTTTTGCATTTGGAAGTGATTTCTTTTCAGGTGGGGAAGGGGAGTAGAACTCCTTAGCATCAGAGCGTGTTAATAATAATAATAATATAGGAAACACTAATGCTCTGGTGGTCATTTCGAAAAATCCTTTCTTACTGAGCACCTAAGAAGCCAAGAGGAACATATGTGCCAAAAGTCAAGTTTGTAGGCTTTATGATTCTGGAGATTTTGTGATGATGTGTGAGGGGTATTTTGCTTTTATATATATAGATAAGCCAGAAATATTTCTGTTAGGTACAATACCAGAAAAATATAATAAGGGGAATTTGTATTTAATATTGCATGTTTCAACAGCAGCAAGAATTGTATTTGCATAGTATTGAAAAAAGGAGGGAACACAGAGAGGAAAATGTAATGAAAAAAATATTAGATTGCGCAGAAACGGAGAGTCTCACATTAAAGACAAAAGAAAGTACTTTCAAATGTGGGATTTGTTTTATAAATGGTTGGATAATAGAGATATAAATTAAGAGCTGGAAAAACATTATTATGTAAGCAATTGACCCAGACACAAAGCACTTATGTATGTTAAATGAAAATGTACAAATAAACTATTAAAAAGAAAAATCCAAATTCTGCTAATGGAATTTGGGAGGGATGAGAGGATAAAGTCATTTCCTCATCTGGAAACCAGAAACCGTTTTTAATCTACTGGGAATCTACCTCCTAGGGTGCAATTTAGTGGAGCAAATACTGGAAATTCCTCAGTGGGGAAGATAAAACTCTTAAAAGGTCAAGAGATGAGACTGATGTAGCATGAATGGGCTTTTATGGATTGCAAGCTGCTCTCGGATTTTTAACCCCAACATCCAATTAGACTGGGGTTATCTTGAGAACACCAAAACTTTTTGTGCAGCCTGAAAAGAAGCTTGTGGGAAGTGGGAAGTCTTTTTTTTTTTTAAATTAAAATTAATTGTTCTCCTTTTTTTACACATATAAAATTTTGTTGACTTTTTATTAATTACATTGCTTAGTGTTTAATAAACATCGTGTTGTCTGGGTATTTAATTTGCTTAACAATATGGATTATATCCTTAATCGCCACTCCCTTTTTTTCCAACCACTGGTAAAATAGATCCCATGTTTGATAGTATTCTGTCTTCTTTCTGCTTAATTTTCAGTGCCAATCTATCCATTTCTGTACTGTCTAGTTTCTTAATTATCTGATCATCTCATGGTGTTTCTTCATTTTTCCAATGTTGTGCAAAGATAATCCTCGCTGCTGTTATATCATGTAATATTAAATACATATTTTTCTTATCTAATTGTTCTCCTTTTTGAAGGGAAGATATCCAACCTTCAGGCACCAGAGGGGAAATGTGTTATGTAGAAGAAAAATAGATTTTTTCAAAACAAAAATATTCAGTAGGAAGAGGATGTGAGAATATGAAAACCACCAATACCTTTAATGTGGCATCAATTTTCATAATTCTTATAGAAGGATAACCTATCTGAATTTATACAGTGTATATACCAATCACACATTTATAGACTAGCAGTTAAGAATGGATATAAACAAAAACAAAAAAAAGCTAGGCTGGCTGTTGAAATCTGCCTAATTTAGTTTCCTCCAATTCTTTTCAAGTAAAAATCTTATTAACTCAAAACGATTAATAGGATTTCCTCATTTTATCAACTACTAGCTGGGTACCTGTGCTTCGCCACGAAACTATGTGATCGGGTTTAGTTTTTGGGGAGGAAAATAAGTAGAAAAAAATTCTGCCTCCGTTTACCAGCAACCATCGGTATTCATCTGGCTAGAGAATGGAGGGCTGCTTGGAAACTGAAACAGTATTTGCTGTGTGAGCAAGAAGGAAACAGCAAGGAGCCCTGGCGTGGCTTAGCTCAACTGTTCTATACTAAAGCTGCTTGGTGCTGTGAAACTGAAACTCCTCTACTTGTGTTTTGCATTTAGAAGAAATTTCTTTTCAGGTGGGGAGGGGGAGTAGAACTCCTTAGCATCAGAGCATGTTAATAATAATAATATATGAAATACTAAAGCTCTGATGGTCATTTTGAAAAATCCTTTCTTAGTGAGCCCCCAGAAGCCAAGAGGAACATATGGGCCAAATTTCAAGTTTGTAGGCTTTACGGTTCTGGAGATTTTGTGATGATGCGTGAGGGGTATTTCGCTTTTATATATATAGATAGGTAGTGCTCAAATTGCCATTGCTAAGGAAGGCAGTCATTCAGGGAGGTTTGCCCCATTTTAGGACCTCTTAGCTACAGTTGTTAAGTGGATTACTGCAGCTCTGAAGTGAATCCCTCAGTCATTAAGCAAATCTGGTTACCTTCACTGACTTTGCCTGTTGGAAGTGCAACTGTCATAAACATATGCCAGTTGCCAAGCGTCCGAAATTTGATCACATGATCATGGGGAAAGTTGCAATGGTCGTAAGTGTGAAAACCGGCCATAATTGACTTTTTTTCACTGCCTTCGAATAGTCACTAAACCAATGGCTGTAAGGCGAGGAGTACCTGTAATTCAAAATGGCCTGTTTGACGAGCTGGGAGGGGGAAAAAAAATCACATTTAAATAATATTTCCTCACTAAAATCCACTTAACAATGCAAAAGTTACAGTTTCCAGTTGGTGACAGTGAAACGGTCTGAAGTTAGTCTTAAGTTGGGCTGTTGGCTTCAGGAATTGTTCTGGAGCTCTTCTCTCCTTTCTTGGTTTAACGTCTTCTTCTTCCAACAAACACACCGTAAGACAGCAGTGTCAAACTCAAGGCCCGGAGGCCGGATCTGACCCATGAGGCCGCTTGGAAATAGCGAACGACCAGCGTGCGGTGCCTCTGCCATCAAAAATGGAGCTCTGGAGGGCCACATTGTGGCCCTCCCAAGCTCTGTTTTCGCTGGCAGAGGGTTGCAGAAGGCCTTCGCAGCTGAAAATGGAGCTCGGGAGCAGAGAGCAGAGAGCTCGGGCCGCCACAGGCGCCCCCAACACGAGTGTCATCCAGCTGGCCACACACCCCCTGAGGTCAATCACAACCCAGATGCGGCCCTCTAATGAAATCGAGTTTAACACCCCTGTTAACTAACATATGTTAGTTTTTTTGCTACTCCTTCCTTCCAGAATGTGTCTGCAATTACCTGGGAACGGTGCGTCACCGTTGCAACAGCTCTGAAGACTGCGATTGCGAGAAAGAAACGGGCCAGTGTCAGTGTCTCCCCAATGTGGTTGGACAGAATTGTGACCATTGCGCCCCGAACACATGGAAACTGAGTAGCGGGACCGGATGTGAAACCTGCGCCTGTAATCTGGAACATTCCTTTGGCCCGTCTTGCAATGAGGTGAGGAAGCTTTATCGGAGCTAAGGGTGGCAGATGCACACTATCTCAGGCTCTTTCAGATTACTTAAGATCTAAACTCACGCTCCAGGAAACGATGGAGGAATTCTTCCCTCCAGAAGAGAGGCCTGTGGGGGATGTGGTTAAGGAATTGGGCTAAAAACCAGGAGACTGAGAATTTTAGTCCTGCCTTAGGCATGAAAGCCAGTTGGGTGACTTTGGGCCAGTCAGCAGGAGACAGTGAGTTCTAGTCCTGCTTTAGGCAAGAAAGTCAGCTGGATAACTTTCAGCAAATCACCAGGAGACTCTGAGTTCTAGTCCTGCCTTAGGCAAGAAAGCCGGCTGGGTGACTTTGGCCCAATCATCAGAAGATGGTGAGTTCTAGTCCCACCTTAGGCATGAAAGCTAGCTCAATCTGGAACTAACTGTAAGTTTTCTGACAGTAAATACTGTTAATAAGTGGAACAGTTGCACATACAGATACAGATTAACAGAGTTGGAAGGGACCTTCTGGGTCATCGAGTCCAACCCCTGTCTCTTGGTTATGTGTGGTTCATCACTGGGGGTTTTAAATAATAGACTAGCCCAGTCCATGGACCGGCACTCTGTCTGTGGAAACCAGGCCACACAAATAAGGGAATCCCCCTCCACAGGATGCAGGAAGCATGTGAAACCACAATGCCTCTGGGCCGTGGAAAAATCTCCCTCCATGTTATCAGTCCCTGGAGCCAAAATGTTTGAGGGCCTCTGGACTAGACCACCATTTGGCTAGGATGGTATAAGGATTGAGCAGCGGGTTGGACTAGAACAGTGATGGTGAACCTTTTTGTTGCGGTGTGCTGAAAGCATGTATGTGTGCGATAGCCACTACCCACAATGCAATCCACCCCACCCCCCTGCGTATGCATGCACAACCCCCACTTACCTGCACTGCGCATGCGCCTCCCAGCTGATTTTAGACCTGTTTTCGCCCTCCCGGGGGCTCGAGGGAAGCCCATTTCAGCACTTCCGGTATTTCTGGAAGGTCCGTTTTTCGGCCTCCAAAGGCTGCAGAGGCTTCCTTCGAGTCCCCAGGAGGGTGAAAAAGGCCTCAAACGGGCCGAAAAACAGCTGTGAGGTACACACATGTGCAGTGCAGGTAACTTTGGCTGGGGCTCGCGTGCCCGCACAAATGGCTCTGCATGCCATCTGTGGCACGCATGCCATAGGTTCACCATCACAGGACTAGAAGATCTTTGGGCTCCCTTCCAGCCCTATGGTTCAATTTTCTATATACTCCTTGCACAGTGTCTGCCATGATTTAGAAGAAATGCAATTAAGAGGAGAAGACAGGCTGGGTGAATTGCAGATAGATAGATAGATAGATAGATAGATAGATAGATAGATAGATAGATAGATAGATAGATATAGAGATAGAGATAGAGATAGAGATAGAGATAGAGATAGAGATAGAGATAGAGATAGAGATAGAGATAGAGATATATGTTTTGAAAAGGTGAAGTTCCTAATTATGGATCCATATTATGACCAGCCTGATTTTAGTACTGATCCATCAGTGGTCTAAAGTTGTTTCACTCCCCTTCCCCTTTTAAAATAATAGTTTACCGGGCAGTGCCAATGTATGCCAGGATTCGGGGGACGTACCTGTACCGAATGTCAGGAATATTTCTGGGGTGACCCTACCATCGGCTGCCAAGGTGAGTATGTTATTATTCCTGGTTCACCCTTCCTTCCTTTTTGGGGGGGGTATATTCAAATATTCCAATGCAGGTAGTCCTCAACGGACAATCACAATTGATCCCGAACCTTTCTGTCACTAAGCGAGATGGTTGTTCAGTGAGTTTTGCCCATCGTACACCCTGTCTTGCCATAGCTATTAATGAATCGGTTCAGTGGTTACATTAGTGCCATGCAGGGGTGGGATTCAAAAATCCCAGCAACCGGTTCGCTGCCCAGTTGTTGGGTGGGTGTGGCTATGGTGGGCGTGGCCTACCAGAACTTTTGAGAGGGCCATTTTTAGCCTTCCCAAGGTTCCGGAGGCTTCCCTCGGGCCTCTGGGAGGGGAAAAATGGCCTCCCCCGGGCTCTGGAGTCCCTCCGGAAGCTGGAAACGGGCCTGTTTCCAGACTTCTGGAAGGCCCATTTTTTCCCCTCTCAGAGAAAAAATGGGCCACGTGGAGACTCCTGGGAGGGGTGGAGCAGGGTGGGTGGGGCCAGTAGCAGTTCGGTGAACCAGATGCAAATTTAACATCCGGTTCGCCCAAACCAGTCTGAACCGATAGAATCCCACCTCTGAACACCACTCAAAATCAATTGTTCAGTGAATCTAGCTCCCCTATTGGCTTTGTTTGTGAGAGGGTGATGAAACTTCAACCGGTCATTAAATGAGCTGAGGACAACCAGTAACCAGCATTTGTACGATTCTCATATTCTGGGACAATCCGAGATAGCCGAAGATGGTTTATTTTGTGATGATGCTTGGGGAAGGAACGAAGTATCATTTCGCATTGGTTTCATTTTATTTGGATGCAAGAAATTAGGTGCAAGACTGGAAAAGATAAGAGTACCCTCCTTAATCTCTGAATGTTGCAATATAGTTTATTCATCCAGCACCTGCTAACAAAACTTGGTCTCTTATGTTGCAATTATGTTTCTGCAAAAGATCTCAGGCAGGCTTATCTGGTGTTCTGTTTTAGTGCAGCTAAATTTAACACTGTTGGATTTAAATAGTAGTTTGTGAATAACATAGTTGCATATAAAAAATAAAATGAGATTTTGCAGAAAGTGCAGTCTTGATTTAGATTTGCATGGTTTTTATAATTGTTTGATTAAAACTGTAACAAATGTGAACTTCTGCAGAAGAAGGAAACGGAATGCATTAAAAGTATAGAAATAAGTGAAGATGCCCAAAAGCTACAGACTGTAAAAATTCAATTATACATGTAATCATAAGTAAGAAGGAAGGAAGATAGAGAGAGAAAGGAAGGAAGGAAGGAAGGAAGGAAGGAAGGATCAATTAAATCAGTTAGTTATATGTTTTTTTATCAGTAGTTTTATCATACTTAGATATAATTGAATTTTATAGTCTGCACCGTTTGGACATTTTCAATTAATTCTACACTTTTAATACATTCTGCTTCCTTCCTCTTCATGAGGAGTTCACATTTGTTATGGTTTTAATTAAACAATTTTAAAAAACAATGTTTTAGTGACTCTCAGCTCTAATCCAGTCACACCTTCTTGAGAAATGGGTTGATTTGATTTACTTAATTTACTTAAATTTAATTTGATTAATATTTTCCAAGTATTATCCACACTTGGTCTTTTAAGTTCTTGGCTTTGTATATTACACAGTTTTTCAAGGCCTCAAATATTGCTGGAATTCTGTCTTTAAATGCACATCTCAATGTATTGTCCTTCTTTGAACGATTCTCAATGTTTTTCATGACAGGAATGTCTTTTCTTTCTCATTTTTTAAAGCTGTGGCCTATTTTCACACATGAAGTTAACAGTGGTTTAGATCAGGGCTCTCCATACTTGGCAATTTTAAGACTTGGTGGACTTCAACTCGCAGAATTCTCCAGCCAGCCATGCAGGATGAGGAATTCTGGGAGTTAAAGTCCATAAACCTTAAAGTTGTCAAATGTGGAGACTCCTGGTTTATACTGATTGCTAAATTCTTCCCTGTTACTTGAGAGGTTTCAGATTTTTTTGTTTAAAAGCAATGACTTTTTCATTATATTTGAACGGAGAGGTGGGTGTGGGATATGGGATCACACAATGTGATGGGCTGGAGGGAATAACCTTGAGGGACAGGAGAAAAAAGCTATCCTCGACACAACCATCAGATAAAGGAAACCATCAGATAAAGGAGTCTGGGACAGAACTGTAATTTGATAACATGCCTCAGAAAAAGCTCTTTCAAGTTCACCCAGAGATAAAGGAAAGAGGAAGAGCAAATTCAGACTTATAAGACTGCATTACTATATTTTTATAATATACTAGCTCAATACCTGTGCTTCGCTACGAAACTATGTGATTGGGCTTAGTTTTTGGGAAGGAAAATAAGGGGAAAAAATTCTGCCTCTGCCTACCAGCATCCATCAGTATTCATCTGGCTAGTGTCCGGTCAGTCTGTATGAGAGGGCTGCTTGGAAACTGAAAGAGTATTTGCTGTGTGAACAAAAAGAAGAGAGCAAGGAGTCTGGGTGTGGCTTAGCTCAACTGTTCTGTACTAAAGCTGCTTGGTGCTGTGAAACTGAAACTGAAAGTGAAACTCCTCTGCTTGTGTTTTGCATTTGGGAGAGATTTTTTTTCAGGTGGGGAGGGGGAGTAGAACTCCTTAGCATCAGAGCTTATTAATAATAATAATAATATAGGAAATACTCTAAATGCTCTGATGGTCATTTCAAAAAAAATCCTTTCTTAGTGAGCACCTAGAAGCCAAGAGGAACATACATGTCAAATTCCAAGTTTGTAGGCTTTACGGTTCTGGAGATTTTGTGATGATGCATGAGTGGTATTTCGCTTTTATATATATAGATTTATACAGTATTATAATATATAGAATGATAAAAATATAGGGATGACAGAAAAGCAATGTTCCAATATCTAAGGGGCTACTACAGAGGAGAGGGAGTCAACTTATTTTCCAAAGCATCAGAAGGCAAAATAAGAAGCAACAGATGGGAACTAATCAAGGAGAGAAGCAACCTGGAATTAAGGAGAAATTTCTTGACAGTGAGAACAATTAATTTGTGGAACTGCTTGCCTTCAGAGGTTGTGGGTGCTCCATCACTGAAGGTTTTTAAGAAAAGACATTTGTCTGAAATGGTATAATTCTCCTGCTTGAGCAGGGGGCTGGACTAGAAGACCTCCAAGGTCCCTTCCAACTCTGTTATTCTGTATTTTGCCACAAAATGTCAGCATTTCAGTGGAATTTGCTTTAATTGACACCAAACGTCAGTATTTAAGTGAAATGTGTGTGTGTGTGTGTTTGTGTATGTGTTTAAACAAAGGAAATGAGTGGCCTCTAGAAGGCAAACCAGCCCCCTTTCAACATCAACATTTTTTTTTAAAAAAAGAAATGTTTTAAAAGTGGGGGTGAAAATTGAGACCTGTACTTGACTATTTACTATTTTAGAATTTATATAAATTGGCCTGTTCTTAAATTCTCCTGAGGGAGGGGAGATAACAGATTAGATTTCCCTTCCTGTGAGAAACTAAATCTTTTGTTTGTTTAGGTGCTACTGTTATCTTCTGTTTGTGGAAGGAAGTGCCATATCTTTCTTTCAAACCTGGGTGAGATAATAGGGTAAATACCAACTTTTGTCTTTATGACCAAATAAGAGGTAATTTATTTATCATTCATTCATTCATTCATTCATTCATTCATTCGTTCAGCTTGCCTTCTTTGACCTCTAACATCCAACATCTACATCAATTTACACATATCTCTTTTCTTTCCACTCACTCTTAATGTATAATGTATGTGTGTGTGTGTGTGTGTTTGTGTGTGTGTGTGCTTGTGTATGTGTGCGGAAAGAGGAAGGGAGGAAGAAAGAGAGATTATAATCTATTTATAGACAAGAACAGAATTCTTTATTGGCCAAGTGCGATTAGACATACAAGGGATTTGTCTCCTGTGCAGAAGCTCTCATAAGTGTGTACCTGCAAACAACAAAGTGATGTCATATAGACCATAAATCCTAAGACACAAACAATAAGTGATAAATCATAAGATACCAATAGGAGAAGGTAATAGGAAAGATGAGAAAAATGAGGAGATAGGAAAGATGACAAGGTCTCAGTGTACATGCAAAAAACAAAATGATAAGTCATAGATCAGAAATCATAAGATAGAATCAGAAATCATAAGATACAAACAAGTGATAAATCATAAGATACCAATAGGAGAAGGTAGTAGGAAACATAGATGAGAAACATGAGAAGATCTATCTATCTACTATCTATCTACCTATTGTTTAACTATCATCTATCTCTCTATCTTTCTATCTATAATATATCATCTGTATTGTCTGTCTGTCTGTCTGTCTATCTATCTATCTATCTATCTATCTATCTATCTATCTATCTATCTATCTGTCATCTATCTATCTAGCTAATCTAACTATCTAATACATTGTCTATATTATTTATATCTATCTATATCTATCATCTATATCTGTCATCTATATCTATCTACCTATTGTCTGTCTACAGTATCTATTGTGTATCTATCAGCTATCCAGCTATCTTTCCATCTATCGTCTATCTATCTCTATCTATCATCTATCTACCTATCATCTATCTACCTATAATATATTGTCTATTGTCTATATCTATCTATTTATCTATCTAATCTATCTCTAACTAATCTATCTAATATTTGTCTATATTGTTTATATCTATCTACTATCATCTATATCTGTCATCTATATCTATCTACCTATTGTCTATCTACTGTATCTCTTGTATATCTATCAGCTATCCATCTATCTATCGTTTATATATCTATGTCTATCTATCTACCTATCGTCTGTCTATCTATTCATCTATCTTTCTATGTCATCAATCAGAGAACAATCTCTATGGATTTTAAATATAGAATTGTAGAGTTGGAAGGAACTAATTATTAGGCCATTAAATCCAACCCTCTGATCTATGCAGATATCTATTTTGAAGCAATCCCTGGCATAGTCCAGCCTTTACTTGAACCAATTTGATGAAGGAGAGCTACCCTACCTTTGGATAATTAACTTCAAAGTCAACCAACTTGACCTGACTTTGTCCTTACCTTCAAAATCTGCCTTCCTGTAACTTAAAGCTTTTTATTTCCCAGTCCTGCATTCTGGAAAGGTAATTTACAGTGCATCGATCTTGTTCTGCCAGATGTCCTCTTAGGTATTTGAAGAATGTTATCACATCCCCTTTTTGGTCTTCTCAAGGTTAAATGTTCCAGTTTGCTCAATCCTTCTTTATGGGATGTAGTTTTGAATTCTCTGTCCTCTACTTTCTTCTTTGAACATGTTCCAGTTTTTTTCCTGAACCCTCCTTAAATGCCCGGACTTGTCAAACCTCTGTTTTATATATAGGATGATATCTGATGGTTGGTTGCTGGTCCATAGGGGTGTTTATTCACTCATGCTAAGATAAGTTTACATTCTCCCTGTGTGTTTTTGTTCTGTTCTAATATTGGTGGAGGGTTAAATATGTTTGGAATGTGAAAAATATAGACCTGGACAATTTCATCAAAAAGCTACACCTGGTTGTCTATCCTTCAAATGGGCATCATTGGTGGTCCTGGCCAATCATAAAACAGATCTGGATGCTCCCACTTTTTGAATCAAGAAGTCCACAGAGTAGTTTGTTAGAATAAAAGTTGGAAGTGATCTCAAATGTCACCCTAGGTAAGATTGGGTGCACTCCCACAACCCATAACTTGATATGCTAAATATAAAATATGCTAGAAAGGACCAGTTTGGCCCAGGGTCCAAGCTAGAAACTGGGGAGGGGATTCCAGTCCTGCCATAGCCCTGAAAGACAGCAGGGTGACTTTGGGTCAATCTCCAGAAGATGAGATACTCACCTTAGTCATGAAAGATGGTTGGGTAATTTTGAGTCACTCACCAGGAGATTGTGAATTCTAGTCCCACTTGAACCATGAAAGCTGGCTGGGTGACTTTGGGGCAACCAATCACCAGGAGACCGAGAGTTCTAGTCCCACCTTAGCCATGAAAGCTGGCTGAGTGACTTTGGCCCAATCACCAGAAGATGGGGCGTTCTAGTCCCACCTTAGCCATTAAAGGCAGCTGGGTGACCTTGGACCAGTTGCTCTCTCTCTCTCAACCCAACCCATCTCACAGGGCTGTTGTTGTGGGGAAAATAGGAGAAGGAAAGTATGTTGGATACGTCTTGCCCCCCCTTGAGCTACTTATAAAAACAATAAAAGCGAGATGCAAATAAACAAACAAATAAATAAAACGGCCAGAAGGCCTAACCTGATGGACTTGGGGATCTTCAAGAGATAAATAACAGATAACAGATAATCAGAGTTGGAAGGGACCTTGTAGGTCATCTAGGCCAACCCACTTCAGTTAATGGCCCCAGTGTTTGTTAGACCCAGCTTGGGAATTTGATTGATTGGTGAGTCATTTCTCCAAAACTAACCCTTTTAAGGGTTAAGTGGGATCTCCTCCTCCTCCCCACCTCCTTGTTCACCCACCCACCACCGCCCCAGACCAAATGTTCAAAGCAAAATGAATTGCCAGAGGGGAGATACATTCCATAGCCAAGCATTCACAGTGGGGATGCTGGAGGGACTTTTTGAAGAAAATAAAGCACTTATGTGTCAGGCCTTTATTTCTAAGAACAAAAAGGCCACTTTGTTAAAATTGCACCCACAACTGCTTTTTTTTTCCTTCTTCCCCTCTGTTTTGCATTCTTCCCCCCCTCCCCTCACAATTGATCAAATCCTCCACAAGAGAACTGGTTTTGTTGGAGGTAATTTGCTCCTTTAAATGGCCTTTTACAAACCAGGCTAAAGAATGTGAATCTGTTTAAATAAATGGTGTTTTTTTTTTCTCTCTCTCTCTCTCTTACCCTGGTCATGTCACTGTTTCTTATGAGAACTTTGACTATTTTGGAGAAAAGAGGCTTCTAACAATCCAGGGCTTCCAAGCCAGAAACTTGAAAATAAAAATTCAGAAGGACTCCATGAAGGGTTTATGAACCCCCTCATATGATAAATTTATAGGGGAGCATTTCTAATTGCTTTAGTTGCCAGATGTCAAAGAACATCTGCATGTTGACCTCTATGCTTAGGAACTCAATTCGGAGAACATCACACAACAGCTGGTATTTCTCACACAGAATTTTGTTTACACAAAGTTTTTAAGTGGTTTCATATTTTTTTTCATGATCTGGCTGTTTGCGGGTAGACTAAACAAAAAAAAATCCTGCTGATTGCAAATTTTCTTACTAGGTCATGCATGATGAATGTGATCTAGAACCATTTTTATGGACAGAAATTTTGTTGTTGATCTGAGTGGATCTGTACTCACAATTGAGACTTAGATTAAAAATTGTGTAAGAAAGAAAAATCTTGAGGAAACCAAGTTAAGCCATGATGGCGCCATGGTTAGAATTCAGGCTAACTCTACCGACTGCCAGCAGTTCGATTGTCATAGGCTCAAGGTTGACTCAGCCTTACCATCCTTCCGAGGTCGGTAAAATGAGAACCCACAGTGCTTCACAAAAGCACTGTGAAGCAGTATATAAGTCTAAGTGCTATTGCTATCTCTGTCATGGTGATACAGTGCTTAGAATTCAGTATTGCAGACCAACTCTGCCCACAGTCTGGAGTTTGATTCTGACTGGCTGAAGTTTGACTCAGCCTTCTGTCCTTCCAAGGTCGATAAAATGAAGACCCAGATTGTTGGGGGCAACATGCTGACTCTCTAAACAGCTTAGAGAGGGCTGTAAAGCACTATGAATAGTATATAAGTCTAAGTGCTATTGCTATTGCTATTAACATTACGATAAGTTCTAATTTTCCATGTACAAAATATTGGGGAGAGAAAAACTCCTTGATATCAATGTTTAAGTCCAACATAAAAGAGGTTTGAAAGTCTTAACTTGAGGATTGAAGACTTGAAAGTCCATCAAATGAGGGCACCACACCTTGTATCTAAAGTATTTTTGTCATATTTTCCAGACGGAGGGGTGGGAATGAAGGTAAACACAGCTGGAAGGGACTTTAGAGGTCTTCTAGTTCAAACCCTGCTTAGAGAGGAGACGGTATCATTTCAGACAAATGGTTGTCCAGTCTCTTCTGGAAAACCTCCAGTAATGGATAAGTAAAAGGTAAAGGTTCCTCTCAGACATACGTGCTAGTCATCTCTAGCTCTAGGGAGCGGTGCTCATCTCCGTTACAAAGCCAAAGAGCCAGTGCTGCCCAAAGACGTCTCCGTGGTCATGTGGCCGGCATGACTAAATGCCGAAGGTGCATGGAACGCTGTTCCTTTCCCATCAAAGTGGTCCCCATTGTTCTACTTGCATTTTTCTTACATGCTTTCGAACTGCTAGGTTGGCAGAAGCTGGGACAAGGAACGGGAGCTCACTCTGTTACGCAGCCCTAGGGATTCGAACCGCCAAATTCCCTACCTTTCTGATTGACAAGCTCAGCGTCTTAGCCACTGAGCCACTGCGTCCCTTTCCAGTAATGCATACCTGAATGTATAAATGGGAATTTCCATCAGTGGGAATAGATGCTGACTTGAGATGCTCTGAGTACATTCCTGATAGCTTCTTTGTCTACTGTGTCTTCACAACCCATTCGTTTAGTGAACGGTCGCTAATAAATGATTGTAAGTTGAAGACGACCTGTACTATTTTGAAGGGATATCCAGGTGACCTAGATATTCAAGTTTAAGAAAATTGCACTTCTTATACCGTGTTTCCACAAAAATAAGACCCTGTCTTATATTTTTTTAGCCTCCAGAAAAGGCACCAGGTCTTATTTTTGGAGGATGTCATCCACTGACTTGCATGTGTCGCCCCCGGCCTCCTTTTCGCTGTCAGAGGCCTTCAGGAACTTCTTCTGTGGACGGCAAGGCTTTCCTGAAGGCTTCTGCAGCCGATAACGGAGCTCTGGATCGATCCAAAGCTTTGTTATCAGCTACAGCGGCCTTCAGGAAAGCCCTGCCAGCCTTGCCAGCTACAGAAGAAATGTGCTGGCAAGGCAGGTGTCAGGGTGTGTGAGGCCTGGCTACAACTGTCCAAAGGTAAGTAATAGGGCAGCTCCACCTCCCCACATCCCCACCCTAGCTTAATTTTTACTCGTGCATTCTGGAGTGGGCGGGATCTTAATTAGGGCTTATTTGGGGGGTTGGGCTTATATTGGGCCCATGTGTAAAAAATCAAGCTAGGACTTACTTTCAGGGTAGGTTGTATTTTCAGGGGGAAATTTTGGGTTGATAACAGTGGTTTCCACACTCCGGGTTTACAGTGCTAAAAAAGTGTATTTCTCTCTCGTTCAGCTTGTGAGTGCGATTCACGAGGCATCCAAACTCTCCAATGTAACCGGTCAACTGGCCAGTGCATCTGTAAGGAAGGCGTTGAAGGTCCTCGTTGCAATAAATGCACCCGAGGCTACTCCGGAAACTTTCCAGACTGTGCTCCTTGCCATCAATGCTTTGCCCTCTGGGACATCATCGTCACTGAGTTGACCAACAAGACCCAGAGGTTCCTGGAAAGAGCCAAACTTCTGAAGATCACGGGGGTGAGTGGTCCCTACCAAGAGACCCTGAACTCGGTGGAGGAGAAGCTGAATGAGATCAAAAACATCATTGCTCAAAATCCTGCAACCGAGCCTCTTAAAAACATTGGGGACCTCTTCGAAGAAGCAGAGTAAGTAGAGCCTACGGCATCCAGAACACGTTGCCTGCTGTTAGCTCGATCACAGAGAAGGAAGCGCCTTGGGGTTGAATGGTTTTAAGGAGAACTTGGGGAGAAAGAAGGAAGAAAAGGTGGAAATGTGGAGGAAAAGAATGTTTATCGTGCATTTGAATTGGAATGATAAGGCTACCTGAGAGATAGCAAAGAGATGTTCTTACTGATTCCGTATAATTCCTTGTGGGTCTAATCACACTTGGCCAAATAAAGTATTCTGTTCTGTTTCTATTCTATTCCATTCCATTCGTTCCATTTTATTCTATTCTCCATTCCATTCCTTCTATTCTATTCTATTCTATTTCTATTTCTATTTCTATTTCTATTTCTATTCTATTTCCATTCCATTCTATTCTACTCTACTCTACCCTACCCTACCCTTCTCTACTCTGGTTCTGTTCTATTCTGTTACTATTCTACTCTACTTACTCTTTTCTAGTTCAGTTCAGTTTTATTCTGTTTCTATTCTATTCTACTCTACACTACTCTACTCTTTTCTGGTTCTGTTCTATTCTATTTCTATTCTATTCTATTAGTTTTTGGTCTGGTCTGGTCTGTTTCTATTCTGTTCTACTCTACTCTACCTACTCTATACTTATTCCTATTCCTGATTCTGTTCTGTTCTATAATTGTATTCTAGTTAATAGAACTAGTTGAAAAGAGGAACAAGGAGAAGAACAAGAACAGAACAAAGAATGGAATAAAATAGAAATTAGAATAGAATAGAAAATGGAATGGAATAGAATTAGAATAGAATAGAATTAGAGTAGAGTAGAATAGAATAGAATAGAATAGAATAGAATAGAATAGAATAAGGAATAATTCTATTCTATTCTATTCTATTCTACTCTACTCTACTCTACTCTACTCTAATTCTATTCTATTCTCATTCTATTCTATTCCATTCCATTCCATTTTCTATTCTATTCTAATTTCTATTTTATTCCATTCTTTGTTCTGTTCTTGTTCTTCTCCTTGTTCCTCTTTTCAACTGGGTGAGCAGAATGGCCAGACTGATGAATCTGTCAATGTAGGAGAGGAGCAGGCGAGCTGGGAAGTGGAGTTGGTGTCAAATCTGCTCAACTCCACTTGAAGTAAATTTGCTTCCCAGCCGTTTCTCTAATTTTTCTGTGATTGCGTCTTTTTGCAGACATTCTGGAGACTTTAAAAGACTCTATTGTGCAGCATTTTCCCTCACAGAATATGCTCGTCTTGCAGCCTATGAAAAATATTCTTAACACAGACGGTTTATTATATGGGGCATGAAACAAATTAGGAATGGGCCCATGTGCCAATGTAACATACGTAATTGGCAATATTCAAGAACATTACGGCAGCTGTCTGGAATGCAGATGGTTAAATCTCATACGGTAGAAGTGTGCTATTTTTCCAAGCTTTTTTCCGCTTTGTATTAACAAAAAAATAATAATAACCCTGAAATAAACCCCATCTATGAGGAAAGAGGGACGTGGTGGCTCACTGGCTAAGACGCTGAGCTTGTTGATCCGAAAGGTCGGCAGTTCAGCAGTTCGAATCCCTAGTGCCGCATAACAGAGTGAGTTCCCGTTACTTGTCACAGCTTCCGCCAACCTGTCATGCCCCTGGTGGAGACTGACTCTAAGGGAAAGGAGGAACAGCCGACAGGGAGTGGAAGTGTGGCTCCGGAGGTTGTGGAGGAGACTGGGGAAGAGCAGAAGCCGGCTGAGCAGTCAGAGGAGGGCCCAGGCCATCCCCTATCCATCCTAGGGCATGCAGGGAGGAGAAGATAAGGGAGAGATGTGGTCTCCTCCGGAGGAGAGGGCCTTGATCCTCTTTATGGGCTGCAGGTGTGACAACTGAATAAGAGTATGGATCTGCGTACTGGCAAACGCTGGAAACAAATCGTGTAAATATCTCTAATTTATAGTTCCTCTCTGAATTTGGCATCCTTCTCAGTGTGTGTTATCTGTGGACATCCTCCAGCCTTTATCTTGCCTGGTTTGTGTTGCTTTTTTCCTTCTTCGTGTAACTGTGTGGGAGTTTTTTTGTCTTCCATCAAAGATATTCGGAGATTGGAAGCAAAGTGAAGGAATAAAAGGGGCTTCACCTGTTTTCTGTGACTGTGTTTGTTTTGTATCCCACCCTGGGTCATCACATAACTTAGCAGTTTGAAAGCACATTAAAAATACAAGTAGAAAAATACGGACCACTTTGGTGGGAAGGTAACAGCGTTCCATGCGCCTTCGGCGTTTAGTCATGCCAGCCACATGACCACGGAGACGTCTTTGGACAGCACTGGCTCTTTGGCTTTGCAACCGAGATGAGCACCGTCCCCTAGAGCCAGAAATGACTAGTATGGATGTGCAAGGAAAACCTTTACCTTTATAAACTAGCCATTTCTATAAGAACAGATCTAACTAGTCAGTAAAACCTGAAATCAGAGTTTCATTTTTTTTCCACCTCAAGTTTCATTTTTCCCCCCACCTGAAGCACAAAGTCCAGAAGCGGTTTCCAAGTGGAAAGCAAAGTAATTGTGTGTGTGTATGTGGTTTTTTTCCCCCTTGGATCAGAGCAGACCATTTAGCCATCTCTTCTAACTCCCATCAGCTTTTTGCAATAATGGATGTTTTCTTGGGTTCGCAGGAAGCTGAAAGCAGATGTGGCCCAAAAGATAATTGAAGTAGAGGAAAAGATCTCTACTGTGGCAAACGAAAGCAGCATCGTGGAGGCTGAACTGACAGCTTTGGAGGCGGATGCCAAGAGCTTACACAATGCTGTGAAAGAACTTGCTGAACAGCTGGAGTTCATAAAAATCTCAGATGTTCGAGGTTTGTATGTTAGACCTCAAGGAATTTGGGCGGGGGTAAAATCTGGCTTTTTATAAGGAAGGAAACTGTGGGATGGAACCTCAAGCAGATATATTTCATGAACATTTAATAGAATCGAACCCAAACTAAAAGCTTTAGGGAGGTTATGGCTTGAAATGTGGTGAGCCTATTTTAAATAATGAAAAATCACGTGGATTCAGTGGTGGGATTTAACCAGTTCGCATCACTTTGGCCGAACCGGTTTTTAAATTGCTAGCTGGTCCTGTCCCTCCTTGCCCCGCCCCTTCCAGAAGTCCCCACGCACCCCATTTTGGCTCCCTGGTAAGTGCAGGGAGGCCCACTAGGCCCCAAATGGGGTGCAGGTGGGTGCGGCGTGGCTCCCCCCACAGCCCATTTTTGCTCCTCAGGCCTGCAAGGAGGCCTACTAGGCCCAAAACAGGGCATGGGGGGATGGCGCCCCCCGTGGCCTGTTTTTGCCCCCAGGGGGGTCAGGAAGCTGAGTGCTGCCTGTCACACCACCTGGCCACGCCCGCCATGCCACATCCATCCAGCTGGTCATTAGGACAGAGAACCGGTTGTTAAATTATTTGAATCCCACCACTGTGTGGATTTCAGTGGGGCAAGCTTATTTGGGCCTCATTGGCCATTGGCCTTTGGTCTTTTTTGTAATCACGACATAAGCCCAAGATTGATAACCAGGCTTGTCAGCTGCTCCATCTTTTCTATCCTGCTCTATGGAGTGGAGAGTTGGTCTCTGACAGAAAGCTCCTTGAAGAGACCAGAAGCATTTGAAATATGGATTTACAGGCGGCTGTTACATATAAGCTAAGTTGACAAAATCAGAAATGAGGAGGTGATAAGCCACCTGGGAAAGCCAAGGGAAATCTCTTCTGACCTAGGCTTCCCCAACAGCACGAAGCCGACTCCTCATCCCGATAAAGCCCCTTTTATTTAGTTTAAAGTGAATTCCTCTCCAGCAAAGTCCCGGCAAACATTCTTCAATGAGATTTCACTACAGACCTTTATCAGGCTTGGAGAGTTGCCAGGCCAATAGCTTCCAAATGTAGCAGACAATACTTGGCAAGAAGTCAGGAACAGATCTTCACCCTAATGAATTGAACTAATTGTCTCCTGCAAACACTACTCCCCTTTTGCTCTTCTTCATTCCCTATGGGAGGGGCCATTCACCATCCACCTGTGCCTTTACTCCCGAGTCGACCCTTGTTCCTTAACTCTTCCCTTCTCCTGGCAGCTCTGTGCATGTGCACACTGGGAACAGGCTCCAGCTGTTCTTCCTCACTGATCTCCGACTCTGAAGGCAGTTGATAACTGTCAGACGGCCCTGGCCCCATCTCTGTGTCCGACGCAGAGCCCTCGTCAGAGCCTTCCCCAGACTCCAGGACTGGCCCATGTTCCTCCCCAACCTCCTCCCTGTCCGAATCTGTCACCAGCTCTGCTGGCAAGCCACAACACAAGAAAATAAAAAGCAAAAGTTAGAATATTTCGGACATGTGATGCGACACCCAGAAAAATATGGCCTACTTCACTTAATCCTCCAGGGAAAGATTAAAGGTAAATGAGGTCCAGGCAGAAGAAGAACCTTATGGCTTTAAAATCTAAGGGACTCATTTGGACAAAACTCAGCAGCTCTTTTTAATGCGGCTGTCGATAAAAATAGGGGCGATGGAGAAGCCATTGCTTCCTTAATAACCACATCACTTGCTTAAAATTGCAGCCATTCACTTTACAACATGGGCAAGAAAGGTTGTAAACCAAGGTAAAACTCACTTTAATAACTGACTCACTTAGCAACAGGAATTTGGGGGGTCTGTTGTGGTCATAAGTCGAGGATTACCTGTATTCACCCTGTAAGGCCAGACCCAACGTGGGACGCTGAACCGGTTTCACCTCTGATTGGTTTCAGGCGCCTTGGACAGTATCACCAAATATTTCCAGATGTCGCTGGAGGCGGAAAAGAGAGCCAACGCCTCGGTTTTGCTCCCCGGCAGCCTCGTTGAACAGTCAGCCGAAATGCGCCTGGAAGTGGAGAGCTTGATCAACAAGACGGCGGCCACCTTCCAGGCGACGCAGGAAGAGCAGTCCCGTCTCTTGGATGAACTGGCGGGCAAGTTGCAAAGCCTGGATTTGGCTGAAGTGTCAGAGAAGGTAAGGCATCCCCGCAAAGGCCGTAGCTGAGCTTGGATGAGGGCGAAGGATTTGAGACGGGGTGGAAATGAGTAGGGATCATTGCCAGGAACAACAAAAGCAACTGTGATGACCCGTGATGTGACACAAAAATAACAAAGTCACCAAAGTAGAATAAATTCCCTTTAATGCCTCCAACTTGGCCCCCAATGTCCAATTATCCCAAAAGTGCTTTCTTTTTTTTCCCAAGAAGCAACTGGACTTGGTTTTTTTTCTTTGAAGACGTTTTGCTTCTCCTCCAAGAAGCTTCTTCAGTTCTGATAGGAATGGTGGGGAATGGAAGGATTTATATTCCTTGCAGACAGCTGGTCATTTGCCTTCTATTAGAGCAGTGATGGCAATGCACACGCGACCCCCTCCGCCCCTCTGCGCATGCACGCGTGACTCTCCCCATGCACGCTCCACCCTCTGCGCATACACACCCATCTCCACTACACATGTCTCCCCCCACGCATGCAATCAGCTGGCTGGTGGGGGTGCGCGTGAGCATGTGCAGTGGGTCTGTTCTGGGTGACAGCTCGATGCCAGCAGAAATGGCTCTGCGTGACACTTCCTGCACACGTGCCATAGGTTCACCATCATGGTACTAGAGAGTCGTTGAGGCCACTTGTAGGCTTGTCTCTGAGCAGTGCAAGTGGGTGTGGAGCCTTCTTGGAACTGCTGAAAGGACTGTGTTGTAGACTGGAGATAAATCATATTATATTCCTCCCCCTCTGTTGAGAAGGGGCAGTTCAGTTTGGACATAGATGGCCTCTTGGACCCCTCTTATAAACCAGCCATCCTCTCTGTCCAAAAGGTGGACTTTGCTGTCTTCAAAAGAGGGGCCTGTGTCTATTAAATGCAGATAGACTGCTGAATCTAGTCCTGATGGGTTTGTTTTCAAACTTCACAAATGCATGGCACAACATAGGAAAAGCAAGGTACGGCGGCACTGAAAAAAGTGACTTACGACCATTTTTCATACTGATGACCGTTGCAGCAGCCCCACGATCAAAATTCAGATGCTTGGCAACTGACTCCTATTTACAACGGTGGCTGTGTTCCCACCGTCACGGGATTGAATTTTGTGACCTTCTGAATAGAATAGAATAGAATAGAATAGAATAGAATAGAATAGAATAGA